GAATTTACTATCATGGAGTATTAATATAGAGTGTTATTGCTACCTGGTTTGTTAAGTCAACAATTTTCCATGTTTCATAAGTTATTATACTTATTTTATTTCATAGAATTATAGTTATTTTATTTCATGATTACATAACTCTGTAATTAATTTAGATATATATATATATATATATCAAACTTTATGGTATTGATTTAATCTTTTCTAATAATATATATTTCTATTTATGTGTAGATCTCAGATATTTTTTTTCTTAATTTGTATAATGGCTAAGGTACACACAAATGTAAAGGCAATACCTTATATTATCTTTCATGACGACATATATGGATAGGTTAAATGCAAACCTATGTAAAATAATAACATGAAATTTATTACCATGGAGTATTAATATAGAGTGTTATTGCTACCTGGTTTGTTAAGTGAACAATTTTCCATGTTTCATAAGTTATTTTATTTCATGATTACAAACTCTTAATTAATTTAGATATGTATATATATGTCATACTTTATGGTATTGCTTATTTTTTATAATGGCTAAGGTACACACAAATATAAAGGTAATACCTTATATTATCTTTCACGACGACATATATGGATAGATGTGGGTAATTTTTTGGACAATGGTAGATGTGGGTAAATTTTGATACAAAGTTGGAGGATTATTTTAAATTATCTTTTATATTGATAAAGCTAGGTAGTTTAGACGGGTTATTTTAAATTATTTTTTGTAATGGCCAAGGTGGTAATTTAGATGCAAATTTAGGAGGTTATTTGGAATTATTTTTCATAATAGCAAATGTGGATAATTTATATACAAATGTAGGGGGTTATTTTTAATTATCTTTTGTAATGGCAAAGATCTTTTATATTGACAAAGCTGGGTAATTTAGACACAATGTTAGAGGGTTATTTTAAATTATTTTTTATAATGGCCAAGGTGGGTAATTTAGATGGAAATTTAGAAGGTTATTTGGAATTATTTTTTCATAATAGCAGTGTGGATAATTTATATACAAATATAGGGGGTTATTTTTAATTATCTTTCATAATGGCATAGGTGGGTAATTTACATGCAAAATTAGGGGTTACTTTATATATTTTTTATAATGGTAGTGGTGGGTAATTTTTTTTAATAAACTATAATAGATCCAATGACTAATATTGGTGATGATGATTAGAGTCTAACAAATTAAAGGTCGGACGTTTCTGATTATTTTGAGAATTTCTAGGATTTATCTTTTTTTTTTCTAGCGCATCTGGTGAGAATCAACGTGGTACCTCCATTCGGGCCTCCAATTAGTAATAGTAGGATTTATATCTTTAACTATATCTATTACTAAAATATTTCATAGGCAATCCAATGATGCTTATTTTCTATCATAAATGTTAGAATTTTTTGTTATAGATTTGGTCGAACTTTATATGGTTTGGCTCCTAGGAAAATGACAATTTTTATATGCATGTCGCCACCACCATCTCTGCCAACTGCATCCATCTTGTATTATTATAGCTACATTTAGGCCAAGGATGGCAACGGGGTGGTTTCGGGTCGGATATCCGTGGGTTTCGGGTCTTGCAGGTTCGGGTTCGGGGATAATTTCTCACCCACGATTCTCGGGTTCGAGGCCCCGAAACCAATCGGGTTCGGTTTCGGGTTTGGTTTCCCACCCGTGGATATCCAATGGATATCCGAAATAAATCATTTAGAATTAAAACTCATGTTTTATAATATGCTAATAATAACTTGTTTACTTATATTATTAAATTTATTCTAAGTTGACTCATGAAAATATTTATTATTTATTGCCTCTTGTTTATACATGTGAATATGTGTATATATATCATGCATATGTTTATAGAAAATCCTTATTTCTCTTACTATGTTGTCATACAAAGCAGGTTTCGGGTATCCATTCGGGTTTTGGGTATCCGCGGGTTCGGTTTTGGGGATGGATTATCACCCGAATCGGTGTTCGGTGCGGTTTTAGGTTTCGATTTCGGGTTTCGGGTTCGGATGCACAGAGACTCCACCCGATCCGAATCCGCCCCGTTGCCATCCCTAATTTAGGCGCAGTTGGATTCGGAAGAGAGGAAGCGGAAGGCCTGCAAAATATATTACGGGCAGACTGGGCCGGGGTCGGACCTCGAGTCATCCGCGGCTGCGGAGTACGGGGGCCCTCCGCGTGGGGAAACGCAACCACTGAACCACCCGCTCCCCGGAATCATCAGCACGGGGATGCAACTTTTGCCGTCTGCATCTGCATTGGAGGGTGACACCGTGCAAGCGTGAGCATGAACGGAGCGCACGCGTCAGGTTTCTTTCCATTTGGCAGGGAACGCGGGGAGGCCCTGGTTGCTCTCCATTTCGTTACGCGGAAGTAACTAATATGTGTGCTCTGTAAGCGTCTGCGTCTGTACATGCATCCTGATCTCACAGCATTTTTTTGTTGTTGAGAATTTCGGTTGGAAGAAGCTTTTTCACGTCACATCCTCACTGGAATCGATCAACTTCAAGCTAAGCGGAAGTTTCTGAAGTTGGTTTGTATAGGTGCAAATCTATACGTACACCCAACAATGATTCACCACATGGATGGTTCCATCAGACTTGGCAAGTTGGCATGCATTTGGTCTTTGTGGACAATAGTTGTGAACAGCCGGTTTCCTGAATGTTTGTGGAATCTGGTTCACCAGGGACGGCCACGGTGGCTGGGATATTTTTGCTTGCGAGGACTCTTGCCACCAATATTTCATATATGGTATATATTTCTGCTTGCTTGACGACTCTGTTTAGTTAAGTTTTGAGCTGTGAAAAAACTACTGTCAAATGTAAGCTAAAAAAAAGCTAATATAAAGTATATGTTGTTGAAAAATTGTAAGTTTGGTTCAAACATACCTTCTCCCTCTACCTGTCTTGAAATACCCCTAAAACCACATCTCTTCCAGCGCATTTACAAAAGCTGGAAGCGGGTCTACAATGCTGCAAAAATTATACTCCCTCCGTCCCAAAATATCAAGGGAGAATTTCATGTATGCCATTAAAAAAGATCGCAATGCTATATACGCCTCTGAAAAAGTTCAGCGGTCTGCAGCGCCACTACTATAACTTTTTCGTGTCCTCCATGCCACTTCCGTCAGTTTGGGCTCTAACGTCGTCAAACTGCAGGTGTGAAAAGACAAAAATACCCTTAAGTCTAAATATGTTATTAATTTTTTTTAGCATCTTAACGACTTCAAATAAAAAAACTCAAAACTAGAATATTGTAGATCTCGTCGAGATCTATAATTTTCATATAAAATTATTTTTATTTAATTTCGCAAAAAAATATGATTTGATATGATTAATATATCTTAGAAAAATCATATTTTTTTGTGGAATTAAATAAAAATAATTTTTATATGAAAATTATAGATCTTGAAGAGATCTACAACTTTCTAGTTTTGAGTTTTTTTTCTTTGAAGTCATTAAGATACTCAAAAAAATTAATAACATATTTAGACTTAAGGGTATTTTCGTCTTTTCACACCTGTAGTTGGATGGCGTTAGAGCCCAAACTGACGGAAGTGGCATGGAGGATACGAAAAAGTTAGAGTAGTGGCGTTGAAGACCGCTGAACTTTTTCAGGGGCACACAGAGCATTGCGATCTTTTTTAATGGCACACAAGGAATTCCCCCAAATATCAATCGTTCTACCACCAGACATAGGATCCAAGGCTCAAAGCAAAAGATGTTACTGCCCCTCAAATTTGCCATATTGCTCCGCTTCCACATCACGCCTCTCCACCTTGCCGCACTCCCTAGTCTTGTGCATAGCTGCAGGTGTCGGGGAACTTGGGCCCGTACGCCTACACTAGAGCAGCACACGTCCGCCGCGGGCTGGCATGGCCTCCGCCGCCGTGCCTCTCAGGAACCCTGCCTTGCCCCTCCGAGATGAGCGTGTCTAGATCTCGACCATGCATGGCTGCGCGGGCGAGTGGGCCGGAGGGTGCCCCGTGTGGGTCGAGGATGGTGGTGGAGAAGAGGGAGGTGCACGCGGGGTCGCCGGTGGTGGAGTGCGGCGCACACGAAAGTCGAGGCCGGCAGAGGAGAAGAGAGTGGCGCGTGAGGGGGTCAAGGCCGGTGGTGGAGAAGAGGGAGGATGGCATCCGCCGTCCTCCCGCCGACGAGGTTGAGATGGTGGCGCACACTGGGTGGCGGTGGCGACGAATGCCGGCGAAGGGTGGGGGTGATGGGTGCCGATGGTACCGTGGTCGAATGGTGGAGGCGAACGCTGAGCAGAGGAGAAGGGATAAAGTTATTTTTCTTAAGACCCACAACTCTAGCGACTCTCTTTTTGGGACAACATCCAAACGCTACAATGGCGAGCCCCGCCCTCGCCCACCTCGCCCACCGCCTAGGCTGTCGGCAACCTCATCGGTGACCTCCCTGCCCGCTGCCCACCCTCGCCGGACGAACCCGCCCTTCCCTAATCCCAATCCAAGAGCTCATCGGCGACTCCTTGCCCCCACCGCCGGCACTGCCCATCCGCATGTCCTCCGTTGCCTGCTCGGCGACACTGCCACCTCCTCACTCATCACTCTCAACCCGCCAGCACCACCTGGCTGCACGCTGCCTCTGGCCCTCCTTCCTAAGCCCGCTGTCCATGGATGGTTGCAAAAGTGAAACCCTAACCATCATCGCCTCGTTCATCGCCCCGGCCACGGCGACCTCGCCGTTGGCCGTTACACCCACTGCCCTCGCCCCCCCGCCCCCGCCCCCTTGTTCCCTAGTATCAGGGACGTCTGCGCCGCTAATCTTATCAGCGCACCCGCGCCCGATAAGATTTGGGTGTATGGATCGAACCCACCACACACTTGCTTCGCTTGGCCCCACAAGGAAACACACTCTCATTATTATATATATAATCCCTTCCATTTCAAAGTTGTTGCCACGTCCAGTCTTCTTCAGTTCTTATTAGTACACAACCACCTAGTAGCTCCAGAGGTTTGAGTAGACAGTAATGGAGGTACCGGTACCACGGGCGTCGTCCTCCCTCGCGACGACGATCCTGCTGGCCACCGCGCTCTTCCTCGTGACGACGACCATTCTCCGCCGTCGTGGCCACCGGCACCGACAAGCTCGCAAGCACAACGTCCCGCCGGGTCCTCGGCCGTGGTCGGTGATCGGCAACCTGAACCTCCTAGGCGCCCTACCACACCGCACCATCCACGAGCTCTCAGCGCGGTACGGCCCGCTCATGTCCCTCCGCTTCGGCGCCTTCCCCGCCGTCGTCAGTTCCTCCGTCGAGGTGGCTGAGGTCCTCCTCAGGACGCAGGACCTGGCGTACCTCGACCGGCCCCGCATGGCCTGCGGCAAGTACACCGTGTACAACTACTCCGGCATGCTGTGGTCGCACTACGGCCCGTACTGGCGGCAGCTACGCAAGCTGTGGATCACGGAGCTCCTCAGCGCGCGGCAGATCCGGCTGACGGAGCGCGTCCGCGCCGAGGAGGTGCGCGCCATGCTGCGCGACCTGCACCCGACGACCATGGCCACGGCGGCGTCGACGTCCTCGTCGTCCTCCACCGGCCGCGCGCCGGTGGTGCTCAAGGAGCACCTGCTCATGGTAACGCTGAACGTGATCTCGCGCATGGTGCTGGGCAAGAAGTACGTCGGCGAGCAGGGGCCCGGCGGCTCGGCCGCGGCGGCGGCGCCGGAGGAGTTCAGGTGGATGATCGAGGAGATCTTCTTCCACAACGGCGCGCTGCACGTCGGGGACATGGTGCCGTGGCTCAGCTGGCTGGACCCGCACGGGTACGTCGGCAGGATGAAGCCGCTGGCCAAGATGTTCGACCGGTTCATCGAGCACGTGCTGCGCGAGCACGGCGACCGGCGGCGGCTGGAGGGCGACGCGTTCGTGCCCAGGGACATTGTTGGAACTCAGGATCACAATCACAGCGCTAAGATCAAATCTGGCTATCCTAACAGGAAGAAAAACGAAAGAACAGTGATGAACGCAATCCAGCAACTGTCAGAGGACAGTGCTATTTTCCACAGATGTATTATGACAGCACACACTGTTTACAACTGATACAATGCATTTTTACGCTCTCTGAACTCTCTGCTACTTATACCTGCAGTTTACACCACTGCAAAACACACTGAAAATTCAAAATACAAAGATACACGGAATGTAAAATGCAACTGCTTCACGCTGGTTCTCGTCATGGGCGCGGTCACCACCTGGTTGCCCACCAACCGTTCCCGCTCCTGCTGAGTTTGAATTCAGACTTGCTGCTCTCGCCTAGCCAGCATCTCCAGCACCTCAGCACACTCCTAACCAGCATCAAGCTTACATCAACATTCTCCCCCTTAAGCTTGATGACCCTCAAGCTCCCTGACACCGAGTAGGTGCCTCATCTCTACCAGCTTCACCACTGACATAGCCTTCGTCAGAGAGTCAGCCTTTTGCTCCAAAGTACTAACTCTCTTGACTAGAATGTCACCACGCTCAACACATTCTCTGATATAGTGAAACTTAATATCAATGTGTTTGTTTCTCTCATGAAACACTGGATTCTTCATCAACTGAATTGCTGAATTGTTGTCCACAAACAACACAACTTTCTTTGGCTTAGTCCTTGTGAGCTCACTTAGCAAGTTTCTGAGCCACATTGCCTGCATAGCAGCTGCTGTAGCAGCCATGAACTCTGCTTCACAAGATGACAGAGCCACAGTTTTCTCCTTGTGTGAGCACCATGTGATCAGACTGTCATTTAGGTAAAAGCCATCCCTCCAGTGCTTCTTCTGTAATCCATGTCACCTGCTAGATCACTGTCTGAATATCCCACCAACCTCTCTTCTTTTTCTTCTCTGGTATAGACAACACCATAGTTCATTGTATCTTTCAGATACCTGAGTATTTGCTTAACTGCATTTGAATGCATGACTGTAGGCCTCTTCATGAACCTGCTTGCCATACCAACTGAGAATGCCAGATCAGGTCTGGTATGCAGTAGATACCAAAGGCACCCAATGATTCTCCTGTAACCTGTTGCATCAATAGCTTCCCCAGCCTTGTCATCATGTAACTTTGTCCCTGGATTCAATGGAATTTTTGTTGGGTTACAATCCATCATCCCAAACTGAGACAATACCTTCTTGGCATAACTTGTTTGTCTAATAGTTGTGCAATCTTCTTTCTGCTCCACCTCTATTTCCAAATAGAATGATAGTAATCCCAAATCACTCATTTCAAATTCAGAGGTCATCTGCTTCTTGAAAGTTGCCAACTCTGCAGGATCCCCTCCTGTCACTATCAGATCATCAACATAAACACCAAGAATCACTCTTGTCTTCCCAACACCTCTAGTGTATACTGCTGGTTTAGTTGCACACTTAGTGAATCCCAATTTCTTCAGACAATTGTCTAGCTTGACATTCCAAGCTCTTGGAGCTTGCTTTAGTCCATACAAAGCTTTGCTAAGTTTGTACACCATCTGCTCCTTGCCATTCACTACATATCCATCAGGTTGGGCCACATAAACATCTTCCACAAGTTCACCATTCAGAAATGTTGTCTTCACATCTAGGTGATGCACTTCCTAGCCCCAGTTAGCTGCCATTGCTAGTATTAGTTTGACAGTGTCTAGTCTTGCCACAGGTGCAAAGACTTCTTCATAATCAATACCCTTCTTCTGTACATAACCCTTTGCAACTAGCCTTGCTTTGTGCTTCACCACATCTCCATCAGCATTCCTTTTGAACTTGTAAACCCATTTCAAACCAATGGGCTTGTGGCCTGCTGGCAACTTGACCAAATCCCAGGTCTTGTTCTTGATTATTGACTGCATCTCACTGTCCATAGCTGCCATCCAGTCGACATCACCAGCTGCTTCCTGATAACATGTAGGTTCTTCCATAGTAGCTAGTAGAGCATTAATTTCAACTTCTGTATCTGAAGCCAAATCCACTTCTACAGAATCCTCATACACTTCATTCAGGATCCTGAACCTCATTGGCCCATCATCATGATCAATGTCCATGTTTTCATCATCATTTTCTTGTTCTGAGCCTGAATGCTGGTTAACTGAAACATTTGAATCTGTTGCCTGATCAGTAACAATGTCAGGCTGTGCATCCTCACTTGGTTGAACTGAATTTCCTTCACCACCAGATCCCTGCACTCCATCAGTTGCTCCCCCTAAATCATTTTGTGGTTGGTTACCTTGGTTATCACCACCAATACCACCACCGCCATACTGATGTACTGTATCTCCCACAGCATCTTCAACAGTAAATTCTGAACCTTCACCAAGTTCAGTATCCCACTTCCAAACTTCATTCTCTTAAAAAATCACATCTCTGCTTACTACTATCCTCCCAGATTGTGGATCATAGAGTCTATGAGCTTTGCTCCCTTCCTCAATACCAAAATACACCATGAGTACACTCCTGTCACCTAGCTTTTTCAGATGGGGCATCGCTGGTCTGACATGTGCTTTGCACCCAAACACCTTTAGATGACCTAGCTGAGGCTTCCTGCCATTCTAGGCCTCAAATGGTGTCCTGTCACCCATTGGTCTTGTAGGAAGTCTGTTCAATAAATGAACTGAGTGTCTCACTGCCTCCCCCTAGAACATGCGTGGTATCTTCATGCCTTTCAGTAATGACCTTGCCATCTCCATGACTGTCCTATTTCTTCTCTCAACAACTCCATTTTGTTGAGGTGAGTAAGGTGCAGTAAACTGCCTTCTTATGCCGCCCTGCTCACAAATTTCCTTAAAAGCATTTGACAAGAATTCCCCACCCCTGTCAGATCTTACACACTTCACTTTCTGGCCCAAGCTATTTTCTGCTTCTGCTCTAAACTTGGCAAAAGCTTGAACAGCTTGGTCTTTTGTTTTCAAGACTGAAACTGACATCCACCTGGTACAGTCATCTACTATAAGTATAAAGTATCTGCTACCTCCTACTGTCACTGGGGTAATAGGCCCACACAGATCAATGTGCAACAATTCAAGTGGTTCATCTGCTCTCCACCTAGAAGTTTGTGGGAATGAACATCTAGTCTGTTTTGCAGCTAGACATGATTGACAAACTTGATCTGGATGTTCTATCAGAGGTATCCCCCCTGCCATCTCCTTTTCAGCTAACAATCTTAAAGACTGAAAATTAACATGCCCAAGTCTGCCATGCCATAGCCAAGATTGATCACTAACATGAGTGAGAAAACAAACTGGTTCAATAGGTTTCAGCTCTATCTTGTATAATCTGTTCACAGTTCTCTGAACTCTCATTAAAACTCTTTCAGGGTTCTTTTCTATTACCTCTATCAGATCATCATCCATAAGCACTCTATGTCCAATTTCAGTTAATTGACCAAGGCTTACTAGATTACTCTTAAGCTTAGGTATGTAGTAAACATCATACAATACCCACTGATCCCCAGAAACACCCTGGAATAGAATAGAACCCCTACCCTGAATGTCAACCGTTGAACCATCACCAAAAGTCACCTTACCAGAAACAATAGAGTCAATGTCTCTGAACTTTGCTCGATCTCCAGTCATGTGGTTGCTTGCTCCATTATCCAGGTACCAAACATCTCCATATGACACTCCATCATTGGTGTAGTGCAGCTCTGAAAACACCTTCACCTCACACCTCATTCAGAAACACCTTGCCCTGACAATCGTTTGACAATTCCTTGTCTGAAGATGTGTTTTCAGGCTTCCCCGGCACTATAGTCTCAGCCATCAACGCAGAGGGCTCAAACTCCACCGTTCTTGCATGATGAGCTTTGTCCTTGTTCTTCTCCTCGCCTGGAAACTTATTTGCATAGTGCCCGGTCTTGTGACACTTGAAGCACTTATGTGGCTCTTTGAAAGGATCAAGATGCCCAAGAGGGGGGGTGAATTGGGCTAATTCTAAATTTTCTTGCAATAATTAAACCCTATTGATAGCCCAATTAACCCCTTGTGCCTAGAAAGTGTTTGTAATGTTCTATCGTACAAAGAGACTTACGACCTAGGTTCCAATCCTACTCTAGCATGACAATTCTAGGAATGTAAATGATAAGAATTGAATTGCTCAAAGTAATGCTTAAAGTAAATGCTCAAAGTAAAGAGAGGAGAGGAAACGCGGTGATGTTTTGCCGAGGTATTAGAGAGTCACCACTCCCCACTAGTCCTCGTTGGAGCACCCGCGCAAGGGTGTAGCTCCCCTTGATTCACGCAAGGATCAAGTGCTCTCTACGGATTGATTCTTCGACACTCCGTCGTCGGCGAATCACCCAAAGCCGCTCACAACTTGAGTTGGGTCACCCACAAGCTCCGCCGGGTGAACACCAAGCTCCCAATCACCACCAAGCCATCTAGGTGATGGCGATCACCAAGAGTAACAAGCACGAACTCTCACTTGACCACGCGAAGCCTAATGAGAAGATGGATGCACACTTGTCTACTCTTGATTCACTAATGAGGCTACTCTCTTGGATTCTCAAATCTCAATCACCTCACTAGGACCTTGCTCTTCTTGGCACTCACAAATGTGTTTCTCTGCTGTTGGAATGAGCAAAAATCCCTCCACACACAAGTGGAGCTTCTATTTATAAGGCAGCCTGAAAAACGAACCGTTATGTGCCTCTGCGAGGTAACCGGACGCTCCGGTCATGTTGACCTGACGCTCCGGTCAGTTCAACCTGCATACCAGTGAAAATGTGTTGACCGGACGCTGACAGGGTCCGGTCACCACTGACCGGACGTGTCCGGTCGCATTAAAACCTTACTGGAACCTTATTGTACTCGACCGGACGCTGAACCCCCAGGGTCTGGTCAGAACTGACCGGACGCGTCCGGTCGTAGATTATCTTCTCTGGAACCTTACTGGAGTCGACCGGACACTGCCTCTCAGCGTCCGGTCACTTGACCACTCTAGCGCCGGTCGCACCGAACGCAGTCCCTTGATCAAATGAACTGATCAGACCCTACGGCCAGCATCCGGTCGCACCGGAGCCAGCGTCCGGTGCAGCATTTGACCCTCCATTCACCTTCAACTCTCGATCATGTGTGAATGAAGTTTGCTCCATTGGATCTTAGGCATATGTAGGAGCTACCTAGAGCTAGTTTAAACAAGTGTGCACCACACCTAACTCACTAGACTCATCTAGGTCAAGCTACCCGTCCATACCCCCCTTAATAGTACGACCAAAGGAAAAACAAAGTCCAAAACTACTCTAAGTGTCACTCCAACTCCAATCGACACTTAGAACTAGTCATCTTTAACCTTGTCGTCCATCCTTTGAAAACCGAAACAATTTCTATCGTAGGGCATGACCACCTCGATTGCCCAATCGATCTCCATTACCATGACATAGCTTAATTGCCTCTGCAAAACACACGTTAGTCATAGTAATATTGTATTGTCATTAATCACCGAAACCCAACAAAGGGGCCTAGATGATTTCAATCTCCCCCTTTTTGGTGATTGATGACAATACCACCTCGAGTATTTGAAAGAGTGAGGTTTTTGACGGGCTTGGTTCATATAAGCTTTTGTCAATAAGAACAAAAGAGTGAGGCAAACTTATATGACCCAAGCCAACACGATGTACTCAAAAGATATGAAATAAGCATGAGTACAAGTAACAAAGCTCATTTGCATCGGAGTATAAACGCGGAAGCAAAGGCAAATGAGCACAATCACAAATGATATGACGTATAAATAATGTAAAGTAGAGAGCACACATGTCATATATCACAATTACGTAGATATCACTATCACATAGATATAATAATATGCATGAAAGTAACAGTGTATCACACGAATAAAACTCCAAATGTATATAATAAGCTAATACTAGATAACAAGCTCCCCCTAAATGACACTCCCCCTGAGTCTACATACTCTAACCCTCTCCCCCTTTGGCGTCAAACACCAAAACCTAAGGGTCGGTCGGCGGGGCTGCAGCGGATGAGTCGGGCGCTGAAGTGCGAGGGGCAAGCTAGAACTGGGCACCATCATCATCTGACCCTGAGCTCTATACTAACTGACCCTCTATGGCAGGAAGTGTCGCTAAAGCGGTCTGGGTCTGAGCTGGGGCAGGTGCTGCCTGTGATGCTGCAGGTACATCTGTCGTAGGATCTGATGATGCGACAGAAGAAGGGAGCCTCTGAGTAGTCACAGCGACAGGAGCTGCTGTAGAAGGACCGGCAGCATGCATATGTGGTGGTGTAGGCATACCTGTCAACTCGCTGAAAGATGCTCCAAGACTCCTGGAGACTGATGTGTCAGGCATGAAAAGCGAGGATGACTGATCTGGTGTGAAGCCCGTCTGAAGTGGAGTGAACTGCGGGGCCACTACTGGTGATGCTAACCACTGGGACACCTGTACTAGAGGTGAAGCAAACTGAGCTAGAGGCTGTCCCTGACTCTAGAGCCCACTGGGCTGTACAGCTAGAGTCGTCGTAGTGGTGGCAGACTGAGCAAGCTGAGGTGAAGGCTGTGGCTATGGAGCCCCAAGAGCTGTCACTACATGTTGCATGAATCCCATGAGCTGCTGCTGCATAAGTAACTGCTGCTGATGCATCTGCTGCTGCTGCTGGAGGACCTGCTGCTGGCGTTGGAACTCGTCCTGACGAGCCTGAAACCGTGCAAAGTTGGCAGCGGTCTACTGTGCCTGTCGTGCCTGATCCTACTGCATCCGCTCAAGAATAGCAATCAAGGCGGGGTCCATCTGCGGTGCAAGTGGGGCTGAGCTGGAACTGCCGGCCTCTGCATCATGTCTGCGTGGAGGCATCTGAGGAATTGGCTGATAGTCATCATCCAAACTATCACTAGACTCGGTCATCTCCTGCTGTGCCTCAAGCTACTCCTCCTCAGTAGTGGCTATGCCTCTGATAATCTCGTCCTACTGAGCTGCTGACTCTAGAACATCTGGACGACGACTAGGCCGAGTAGGTGCCTGAGGTGTGCTGTGCCTGATCCTCCGTGCCATGTTATAAGCTAGAAACTCAGTAGTGGCACCCTTGTACTCGGCAACCATCTCTGGGGTCCTGACCTGCACAGACTTGAGCATCAAGAATGTGATCCAATGTGCATAAGGAAGCTACCTGCGACCCTTGAAACCCTCAGCTATAGTATCCTCCATCTCTGATAGAAGGAGGTCCCAAATGTCGAACACGGTCTGTTGCATCAGGGCATTAAGGAGCCAGAGCTGTAGGTGAGTCAGACCCTCTCTGTATCCCAACCGGGGAAGTAGTGTCCTCCTGATGATAGCCTCTAGTACTCGAGCTGTAGGAGTTAGGTCACTGGGGTTCCTCCTCGACCCCTCACCAAAGGGCTCCTTAAAGCAATGGCGCACAAGATCAGTAGGGGGCACCAACCCTCCATGAGGACGCCTGGGAGGCTCCTGCTGTCCATAACACACCTCATGCAATCTGACAGGCTGATCCTGTTGCCTCAGTATCTCTCGGGCCCTGAAACTCATCACTCTATAATCTCTACCATTGAATGCAAAGTGAATGAAGTTATGATGTGGGTCAACATAGAGCGATGCGTAGAACTACCAAACCCAAGATGGTACATATACTCCTGTCTGGCCAATCAGATCTGTGAGCCCCGGCAAATATGAAAAGTAGGGGTGGATATGCTCTCCGGCTGCTGCCACAATAGACTCTATACTGCAGACTCTCTGAGATCTGAACACTGCTCCACTGTTGAGATAAACATTGTAGAAATCCTCCTGCAGTGGCGTGTAGAACCCCTCTGCTGCTCTCTCATCCCTCCTCGGAGGGAACCACACGTCAAACTCAACAAACCTCAGCTGGCGAACCTATCTGGCTGTGGCGGCCCTCAAGTCAAGATGTACCACTGGAGGCGGACCCTATGGTCTAGGCGGTGGGCGTGAACCCCTACGCTGTGTAGCTGGCCTCGGTGGAACTGTAGCACTAGTACGACCAGAGCGGTGTAACTGGGGTGCTGGCTCGGTCTCCTCGGCCTGCTGGCCCTCCTGAGTCTCCTGAGCTGGCTGAGGCTCTGCTAGTGGGGGCTGCTGCTGTGGCTCCTGCTGGGACTCTCCTGACACTGAGGCTCCTCAATAGCCAGTCGACGTCCTGCCATCATGACAGTCCTAGGTGGACCACCATGACGACGCTCAGCCTCCTCAACTGCTGCCCTCTGTGCTGGTGTGAGCTGTGGATCTACAATGACAACACCACTGCGAGTACCACCTCTCTCGGCACGCTCTACTGCCTCAGCGACTGTTGCTGCTCTCACTGTTTCTGCGTCGGGGTACTTGCGCTTCTTAGATGTAACTAGCTTTGTTGCCTTGCCTTTCGGTCCTACAGGCTGGCGAGGCGGGGGCCTCTGATCGTCATCTCCCGGACCACCACCAACGTTCTTCGTGCGAGCCATCTAATCTGACAAGAGGATGAACTGCTGCTGACGAAGATCAACTTTCAAACTGACACTCTCGAGGCTTGGCCTCGATCCATACTCGCGAGCTTGGCTCCGAGTTGACTAACAACTGCCACAAGAATCACAACGACACCGACTCGCTATACGATGGAATAGATGGATATACAAATAAGTACAATATATCTAATAGATGTGAGACCCTAAAAGAGAAAGCAATTTGGTAACAAAGTGACACGACGGGCTTTCTACCTGA